ATCCAAAAAATGGTTATAGTCTTGACGTGTATGCGAGCAAGCTGCTATCACATGAGAGCATGGATATTTCAGAGCTTTAAAAAACCCGCAGTCACACGTTCTATCCCTTAGATTTACTCTTAACGACACAACTTAAATCCCTTGAAGAGGTCGCGGCAACTCTGTAACACGAAACATTTCATGCCTTCTAGAGAAACTTGTTACAGACATCCCATTTGATGCAATAATTTTTTTCTATAGATCTGCAACTAATCTAGGGTGATACACATGACCGCCTTGCATTCAGGTTTGAGTTTGTCCCTCGAGCTTTGCAAAAAGCGCCCCCAAACTAAAATATGTAGTCTTTAACAAAGCTGCTACAGGTAAGTGACGTGCACCCTTTAAGGTTGAATTGATTGCCTCTGCCAAGTTGGTCGTCATGTGTCCATATCGATATCCACCATCATATGCGTTCGACCACATTTCATTATCGATGAGGCTAATGTAATCGCATCCTTCCTCGTTATTCGCCTGCAAATCTTGAAGCATTGATTCAAAGATTCAAAGGAAGTAGTTCGTAACCTGATCAAAAAATGTATAACTTACTAACCTGATCAAAATGATCGAAAGAAAATAAACTACATCAGTTTCATTTACCTATGCGCACAAGTAATTGACGCTCATCATTCTTCTTGTATCTTCCATGGTAGTTCGCAGCAATGTGTCGGAGACAATACCTATGTTGGACAAAGGGTGGTTGCCACATTGGACCCAAAGACTCCATTGTTGCTTTGATCCCAGCTCCGCGATCTGAAATGACGCATATTTTTTCCCTCGTGATGTCGGAACCGTCTTTCGGTTGGACCCCGAAATTGGGCTTCGACTTAGGAAAATGTATTGGAGTCGCCACCGACCACTTTAAAATGAATTTAGGTGGGTCGGATACCATCTTACATGATCTGCGTTTTACCAGAAATGTGTCAGGTTCAGGAGTCGGTTACGGTCAACGAAGGATTAGCACCCTTGAACCGCCCTTTCGGTACCAATTAATTTGTCAGTTGTCTTTATGGCGTAAATTTAAATTTAAATTAAAACTTAAAAACTCGATTTAAATTACTTACCTTCGATCAATTAAAATATCCCTAAAAATCAGAAAAATGTTAGACAAGGAAAAAAATTAATGTTAAATAAATGAAAGAAAAAAAATAAAATAAAAAACAATAATAATTGATGATCCATACAAGTTGTTGACAAACCATTCTTTGAAAGCAAACCACACTTTGAAAACAATAATAATAAAATAAAAATTAATGGCGTGAACCTGGCAAGTTATTTGGTATTGGCCTACCAATGAAAGCAAACCACTCTTTGAAATTTTTAGCACTGGCACTAATAAATTCCATAGCTATTTGTAAATGATGACAACCCATCAATTCAAAACCTATTACAAGTCTAAAAGCATATTTTTATATTTTCCTTCCCTACTAGTTTTCAACACGCATACAGGTAGTAACAAGGCGTTTGGGTTTTGGTCCAAGTGTGACTCCAACCAAATCAACAAGCTTGTTTACGCCAGTTTGCAGTTTCTTTATAGCTGATCCATCCTTGTTGAAATGCAGCTCTTTTGCTGCACAAATCTTGGGCAGACGAGACCTTCTAAGAACAACATTTCGTCTACTACCAAAGGAGGACGAGGAAATGGAAGCAAAAGATGACAATCTGTTTGAAGAAGATGGAAGCTTCTTGTCCATGACCAGACCATTAGGTGCAATGAATGAGCCAACTGAAGACATGGCTGTGAAAGTCGATGCCATCTTACGCTACTATCAAGCTTCTAGGGTTTTTTTTTTGAGAAGGTTCCCTTTGGAGAAGATATCGTGAGAGAGGTTATTGGAGAAACTGGGAGTCTTAAAAGCACTGAGATTTCGATGCAAAGCATTAGTTGAAGAGTTCATATTGCTTTTGAGTGAAAGGGTTTTGAGCTTAGATTGAAGAGTGAAGCATGACGAAGACAAGGAACAATTAACTGCTGCCATCGCCTTTTTTCCTCCTCCCCTGATTTTTGCACGTATTTATAGTACTTATGGAGTCTATTTTTAGAGCTTCCCATTATAACTAGAATGCTAATATATTTTCAGTTTTCTTGACTTGTTATGGCCGGATTTCTCAGGTTGTTACTGTTGGTGTATGACTGCTCTGAGAAAAATGGGTAGTTGACTGAGGAATTTAGGACACCACCGTATGCGCGCCGAGGCTATGGAGCTATTGGGACCACCATTACTGCTCACATGGGAAGTTGATATGGAGGCAGCAGCTAAACGTTTGGCTTAGGGTTTGGTGCCTCTCAAATGTTGTTAGACTTCAGTTGGTAGGCTTGTATTCGTTGGACCTGACCTGTAAATGAATGAGAAAGAATAAAAAAAAATAAGTTAACATATATGTAATTAACGTGCATAACGTAGATATATCATATAATATAATACATATATATTGTATACCATAAATCATAATACATCAACATATAAATGTCATCTAACAAAAATCGGACGAAAATGCGTGTCTACACGTGATAATATGTGCACGTAAATTTCAGAGGAAAAAAACCCAAGAATTTGTATCTTCTCAACTGGAAGAATGTTGCGATTGCCATCTTGGACAACTGCCAATAATAAAACTTGCTTGTATTTTTCATACAAGAAAGTCCCGTCGATTTGGACCATAGGCTTGCAGTATTTGACAGCATTAACGCACTGTGGGTAAGTCCAAAAAACCCGGTAGAATTGGCATCGATCGCGGAGAACTCGATCATTATGTTATGCATAGGATGTTTCGAAGTCCACAATTGTCCTAGGATTCAACCTCCGTACCAACCTAAACCAGCCTGGAAGTTCGTTGTAAGATGAATCTCATTCGCCATGAAGTTAGACAATGGCATTTTGTTTTGCCAACCAAGCTTTTTTATAGGAGACAGTTACCCATACTGCGATTGTATAGCTGAAATCAACACAGCAACAGCTATATGAGAGCTTGCTTTTACCATGGGCATGATGGCTTGACATATCACTTCAAAGTCCAAGTTGGGATGATCTTGGTTCACCCCTCCAACACCACATGTGTAAGGACCGTTGTATACTGTTAGTTCCCATCTGTTGTTTTTCCTCTTCCTATTCGATACACGAACCATCCAATTGCATCCGTTTTCGCGTCGGGCACAGTAGCATACATATTTTTCTGTCGTGGAGCGGTCAACTCTCGATTGAACAGAATTACGGATATTGTAATTTTTTATAGCCATCATCGCTTCTTCTTTGCTTGAAAACTCCATGCCTAAATATAAATCACCATTATTTATTGATGATTAATATCCATAGTCACCGAGATGAGGCATATCCGAAAATTCTGGCCCATACATTGCACCATAATCAGCTTCATACATGTGTGCTGGAGGGTTAGTTTGTGCCACATTTGCTGGAACTTCATCCACATCATCATCATCATCGGAGTTGAATTGCGGTTATTCTGGGTGAATGAATAGTCCAGTCTCAGCACCATCCGTACCAAGCTCACGAAGCGGTTCTTCTGGTGGAGATGATGGTTCTTCCATGCTCTCCACATTTAGGTCGAAGAACCTACTACTTGCACGCCTTCCCCTTGAACTGGAAGGCATATCGACATTCAGATCGAAAAAGCTCGCAGTCGAATGCCTCCCCATGGAGCTTGAAGCCATCATGTCAAATGGAAATTGCACAGATTGTTGCATCGATGGCATCTCCATATTAAGGTCAAACGGATTTGCAGATGAATGCCTTCCCCTTAAACTGGACGCGATGTTGCCATACGGATTGTTCGTCGACCCACCTCGGTACATATCGTAAGGAGTTGCGGATGAATGTCTTCCCATTAAAATCATTATACATTACTGTCGTCGGGCTATCAACTTGTTCAGCCAGCCCATAGTGGGAGCTTAATGATTGACCCCGAACAGCACACACTTGAATAAAATTTGCATACATCTCAATATCGATCTGTACTGCAACGACGACATTCTTCTACTACTTCCAACATGAATATTCATCGAAATCTTCGTTATCAGCTCCTCAAGAGTTATGTTTCTCTTCAATGATATTTTAACACGCTCATTTGATACGAAAACAACGCCGGTTTCATCTTCACGAATTTCACCATCATAATAAAAAATAGCTGAAAGTCGGGCCATTCTTTGAGTTTAAAAGTGCGACAATATTATATCTGCAAAAAAATAGCTGAAACAATGTTGATTAAATAAATAATATATGAACGAAAATATAACAGAATAAAATTGTTACACATAAAAGTAAATAATTTAAATAATATAATTTTATATTATTATTTGTACCGCAAAACTATTTCGAAGTATATTCCCACTTTCTAATTTTACAAACACAGAAATTAATTGACAATAATTAGTATAATATTTTTTCAAATAATCATAATAAACAATAAGTATAATAAAAAAATTTATCACAAAATTACCTTATAACGAAAAATCGCACGAACTTCTGAATCAAATATGAGAAGATTGTCGGATTGTTGTATTAATTTTTTTCTAATCGAGAGGAGATGTGAGGAGTTACCCCGGGGGAAGGGTATTTATAGTTGAGAAAAGCTACAAAACACGGTACTTGCACCGCGTCTTACATAATTATATCAGATAAAGCTAAGGCGCAGCTCCTGTTCTGCGCCTAATATAATTGTGTTAAAGGTAAAGTGTGGCCCTTATCCTGCGCTATATTCCTAGGTGGCCTAAGGAGCGCTTCGGGGTCGCGCTTTACACATGTCAACGTAAGGCGCGTTGCAGGGGCGCGTCTTACCCCACGTGACACCAAATCAACGTAACACGCATTACAGAAGCCGCATCTTTTGCAAAGAGTATTAGATCGAAAATATAATCTGAACGGTACCTGATCGATAATTATACTATTTAACGGTGATATATAGGGAAAATTGCCCGTTTTACACTTGTTTCTTGTTTAACATTTTTTTCTTTGACAATAATAATCACTCATTTTCCACGGTTAACGAGGCTTTTCTTCTAGACTGCAAAGTGGGGGAAGGTACTTGCGAGTTGACTATATATGCGGCAGCTCCACCCACCTTCTACCCGGCAGAGACAGACTCATTTTTTCAGAAACTTTTTTTTTCTTTGAAGAGGTTACCAATGGAAGAAGAACAAGTGAATCTAGGTAGCTCTATCCTGGTCCCATGCGTTCAAGAGGTGGCAGAAGGAGCCCTCAACCAAATCCCACGACGCTATCAGCGTCCCGATCAAGACCCCATTGAAACACCGTCGATGCCACAGCAAGTCCCGGTCATCGACCTGCAAAAGCTGCTCTCTGGAGATTCAATGGATGTCGAACTAGAAAAGTTGCACCATGCTTGCAAACACTGGGGTTTCTTCCAGGTATACTTTATAAATGTTTGTGTGAAAACTGAAAACCATCTATTTATAAAGCTCAAGGTAATTAACCGTTCGTCACCATGGATGAACCTTAGCTGAGGAATCATGGGGTGAGCAGTTCGTTGGTGGAGAAAGTGAAGAAAGGGATCGAAGGATTGTTCAAGCTGCCGATGGAAGAAAAGAGGAAGCTTTGGCAACGTCCGGGGGAGCTTGAGGGATTCGGACAAGCTTTTGTTGTGTCTGAAGAACAAAAGCTCGATTGGGGAGACATATTCTTCATCGCTTCCCTGCCAACCCATCTCAGAAAACCTCACCTCTTTCAAAACCTTCCTCTCCCTTTCAGGTTAGTTTTATTATCTAACCTCACCTCTTTCAAAACCTCGCCTCTTTCTGGCAACTCTATTCATATGTATGTATATGTATACTATATGTTTCGGTTGCAGAGATGACATTGAAGCATATTCGGTAGAAGTGAATAATTTGGCTTTAAAAATACTTGGTTTCCAAGCAAAAGCACTGAGGATGGATCCTGAAGATATGAAAATTTTCAAAGGAGGATACCAAACATTTAGGATAAACTATTATCCCCCATGCCCACAACCAGAACTTGCCATAGGGCTCACCCCTCACACCGATGGTGTCGGCATCACCATTTTGCTTCAGATTAATGAAACGGAAGGTCTTCAAATCAAGAAAGATGGAGCTTGGATTCTCATCAAACCCTTACCCGATGCTTTAGTTGTTAACGTTGGCGATATCATGGAAGTAAGCTTTTGTTTTATTATCTAAGACCCTAAAGCTTAAACCCGAAGATGTCGATGTTTAAGGAATTGATTTTGATATTTGCAGATAATAACGAATGGAACATACCCAAGCATTGAGCATCGAGCGGTGGTCAACTCGGACAAAGAGAGGCTATCCGTCGCCACATTTCTCTGCCCCAGACTGGAAGCACAAATGGGACCTGCTCAAAGCCTGATTACTTCTCAGACTCCACCTCAATTCAAAACATTGGTCGTATCCGACTACTTAAAGGGGCTGTTTAAACGTAAGCTCGAGGGAAAATCATACCTTGATGACTTGAGAATTGAAAATTAACTGGAAATGAAGAAAATAAATTACTAGTTATAATTGTTATAAAAAGGGACGAGAAAGTAAGTGAATAAGGGCTTAGTCAAGTGAATAAGGGCTTAGTTACCATGTAATTTGATCAAGTAGCAAAAATATACAAATATCTAGAAGAGAGATAAGTAGGAGGGATCTCCATTTAAATATAAGGGGCATCCTCCTTTTATATTCCTGTTGTTGTATTCGATGTCCCGCGATAATTCTTGCTAAAAGGATTATAACAGTGGCGGAGCTTTATATAATTTAAGGTGGAAACATGTTTATCCTGATATTTGAAATTTTTTAATTAGTTTTTTGTTGTAGTGATAATATCACTTTAAAATTTTATTGTGTCCACATAATTTAGACTTTTTTGTGTTATTAATTCATATTTATCAACTCTTCAAAAGTATTTTTGAATGCACCACTATTATATATATAATACTCAATTATTGGTGACCTAAAATCATTATGGGTTCTACACACTTGTTTATTGTCTAGCATATTTGTTTGACAATGAAGTGATTAATTTGAATTCGTCCTTCATTATCTTATATATTGACTATCAAATTGATACAAAATCCTATTGTAACGAAATGTAGTGCGAAACAATATCTACGAGTGGTCGATTTAGAAATATTTTTTAGGGTGGATACATATATTTACAACATAAAATTTTTAAATGAAACGAAAATAAATAAAATTTTAGAATAAACACCGTATGTAAAATAAATAAATAAATAAATAAACAAAGAAAATTTGAATGGCAGTGCTCACCCTCACCAAAGTATGGCTCTGTCCCTGCCTACAATGATGGCTACTTGTAATGTTGGATGTTTGTGATACCATAATCTTATCATTTTAAAATAGCTTAATGTAAAAAAAACTAGGGTAAATTATACATTTAGTGCCTAAACTATCAGTTTTGATTCGTTTTAATACTTAAATTTTCAATTTTTTAAAATCATATCTAAAGTTTAGTTTTTGTTTCATTTTAGAACATGTTCAAAATTTAAACCTGAAAGTTTAGGTATTAAAACGAACCAAAATTGATAGTTTAGGTATTAAACGCGTTAAGTTTTTACTAGGGATACTAGAATGAAACAAAAACTAAACGTTAGATATGCTTTTTAAAAAAAATTAAAAGTTTAAGTATTAAACGAGTCAAAACTAATAGTTTAGATACTAAATGTATAATTTACCCAAAACATTATTTAAAATCTCTTTTTCTGTTTAGTTGTTAAACTTTTTTTATTAATATTGGTGTTTAATATTGTTAATATTATCATTTTAAGTATCTTAATCATAATAGATGTTAAAAAAAATCGTCAACCATTCAAAATACAACATGTGATAGATTTAAAAATTTTATTTAAATTTTTTAAAAAAATTAATTTTTTAGAAAACCCCTAGATTTTTTAAAATTATAAAAACACCACAATCCTTTAAAATCCTTTCCCAACAGCCCTTTTCTTTGGAGGCACTTGAAGAATCCAATGAAGGCCAAAGTGGTGGCTCCGCTCCCTACGGCAGATACCAACTTCGACAACTCATTTTCAAGCCCTCAAAGCTCTGGCGACATTCTCTAATTATCGTTGATTGAATGTCTATAAGAAAATCAAATAGGAAAACAAACTGCTCGGCAAATTAAAATACACCAGGAAGGCTTGTCTTCCTCTTCTGATTTGGAATTCTTTTTCCAATTGAAAATGACAACTTTTCTTCAAATGGAGCTCCCTATGGATTAAAGGATACTCATTCTCTTTCTGCTCATATGGTGATCTCAACGACGTCTCTCACGTAGTCGGTTCTTCGTCGACAGTCTCTTTCGAGTGGGATTCGAAGCAGACCCCAAAAAGAAAAGGCTTTGATGGCAGGGATCAAAGCAACGATGGTGATGATTTCGAGTTTAATTTCGGTTTCATTGTCGGCTGACGAGATTTTCGACGGCAAAAAGATTAAGCCTCTTAACCTTCGTCGCCTTTGTTCGAACAAATGGCGGAGAATTATGGTGGCGGCTTCTTCGATAGTGAAAGAAGCACCACGAGATTGAAGAGTGAAAGGGAGGAGAGGAGAAGAAGTGGTGGGGTAGAGAAAATTTTGGGGAGGGGGAGGGGAATAGAATCATAATTTACACTTAATACAAAAATAAATGTCAATAATATATTTAAAATTGATTTAGTGCTTAAAGAAAATTTTGTTAAAAATAACTGTCCAATGTTATCTCTGTCACACTTTTAGGTACTTACCGTTAAAAAAATCGTTAAGTGACGTGTCATGTTTATATTTTTTATTTTTTTAAAAATATAATATTATTTAAAAATATTTTTTAAAAAGGCTTAATGTAACGTCCTAATCCAGTACGATCCGAAGATCGACGAACCATGATGTCACATGGACTATCGAAGTAGTCGACCAAAATTTTTCGTTTAAAAGCAACACATTCATTTGCATAAATCCATATTTTGACAATCATAATCACATAAATTCATAATACATGTTTACAAATCGGGAGCCCGAAAAAATAACTTGAAATTAAAGTTTACAAAATAATTTACATATAAGTTTGACTCGAAATACATAGATTCATTTACAATACATGTCCACTATTACATAAGCCGAGATGTACTCAAAAGTTGGCAACTGATGCTAAATGGTCTAGGCAAAGGCTCCTTCAAAAGCTTCTATATCTAACCTGTGTACGAAAACAAATTATGAACGTTGAGCTCACAAGCTTAGTGCCAAACTAATAACCAAATTACAATACATGCATACTCTAATATACATACTTAAAACATACTTAAAGCATATTTGTTAGCATATGAATAATCTAACCCAACATACATACATAGGTAGGCATCATGGTGCGACTAAGAGGCTACATCTCAGAGATAATGCACCCATCTATCCTACCTACGGTGGAAATCTGGAATTCTACATTAGATTGTGTCACCCGCTAACTTGCTCTATCAAGCCTTAGGGCATCTAAGCCCAGTTATCAAGGATGTGCCTAATGCAATATCTTAGGGTTGGCCATATCTTAACATACAAACGTTCTCTTATTCTAAAATGATTCAGGTGTTCGATTCGTTTCTCAAACACCATACAAGGCAAGTCTTATAATTCCTTGGAGTATAGGGTTTCTAAGTGAAATTAACTTTATTAATATTACTCTCACTTGATATCTTATTGAATGAGTAAAGAGTGGTTTGGATCCCTCAATCATATTTCTAAATTCCCTGAATTTCTTATCTTTTCACATGAAGTGGCATCGATACTGACTTATCAGTATGGATACTGACACAAGAGTATCGATAACCCATAGAAGTATCGATACCAACAGCTTAAAACAATCTTGAGAAAAGGGGTAGTATCGATACCCCTATAAGGAGTATTGGTACTCAATCCTTGGTATCGATACTCCTATGAGTATCAACACCAAAATTGTATTATGGAAAATCAGTATCAAAATCTCTCCTCCAGGTATCGAGACTGAACCTAGAGTGTCAATACTCCATACATGAGTATCGATACTTCCACCTAAAAATGTATATATTTTTTGCTCAGTATAAGAACAGTATCGATATTGAAACATACAATATCGATATTGGTACCTGAAAATGCCCTATTTGGGCATCTTTAACCTTTCAAAACCATTCTAAATGCCCTAAGGAGGTCCCCAAACATTATTAAAGTCTTATTTGAATTTATTAGGGTAATAAAGAGGCATCATATAACAATAAAACACATAAATATGAGATTTACCATGAACATGCTCTTAATCCTTAAAAAGCTAATGCAAGCTACATAAATGCATGGTGAGGCTTATAAATGGTATAGGAAGGTTAGAAGGGTGTTACCTTACTCTTTTAGTCGATGAAAACTCCCCAAAATCACCCAAGGGTCAACTTCTCTATACCCTTATCTTAGACCCTTCTCCAACTTCTTTCACTAATGCATGAGAAAATATGTTACTAACTTATTTATGAGACTATTGAGAACTTAAAAACATTTCTTGAAATTCATCCTACCCCCAAACACAAGCTAGAATCCTTAATTTCATAAACCCTCACTAAAACCTATTTTTGGTTTAAATCTTAAAACTTGACATATGGGGCTTGAAATGAAGCTCTTGAAATAGAGAGTGATTTCCTTACCTTAAATAAATTCAGCCAAATGATGAACTCCTTAAAGCTTCACTTGAATGAGAAGAAAAATAAAAAGAGAAATGGGAGAGATGAAGAAAGGTGTTTAGTGAGGAAATATGAGTAGTTCACGCTATTAACTTAGAAAATAAGAGGGTTTTAGTTCTTGATTTGAAAAGGGAAAATCACACTTTAGGTCTTCTTCCTTTTTACTTTTTAATAAACTTATCCCAAAAGTCCAACACTTGGGCCAAACCAAGCCCAATTCTTACTTAATATGTATCCAACAAATCTAATGGGTGTTTCTGGGCTCGAATTAAAGGTTTCGGGTCAATTCAAACTACTAACCTGGGGTTTGGGGTATTACACTTAATACACTTTTAGGTATCTAAACTATATCTCAAATTGACTTTTGGTGCCTAAAGAATTTTCGTTAAAAATAGGTGTCTAACATTTTCTCCATTAAACTTTTAGGTGCCTACTGCTAAATTTTTTTAAGCCTTAATACACGTTTAGGTGTCTAAACTATACCTCAAAATGACTTTTGGAGCCTAAAGAATTTTTGCTAAAAATAGGTGTCTAACATTTCTAACGATACACTTTTAGGTGTCTGGACCTTTAGGATCGTCAAATTTGAGCAATATCACGTCTCATGCATATAAAATTTAAAAAAAATATATTATAATAAAAAAAATTAAAAAAGCCTACAATTTCACCGTCGATTGCCCACCGTCAGTCCATGACTATCACCGTTAAGACCATCAGAACCATCTCGCCACCGCAACCAAAAGTCAGTCCTCCACCCACCATGAAACAATGACGATCGTCATGAAAAGCACTGCAAAAGGTCACTAGTATTTCTAAGTTTTCCTTTGCTGTTTTCCAACGATTCTGATGACTACATCAAGTTGTACGTTACATAGAGACCACCATTGAGTTCTTCTCCCTGTATCGAATAAAACTCAGTCGCTGGTGATCCTTCATTATCGTTAAAGGTAAGGGGATGTAAGGAATATGGATGGCGAGGGGAAGTGTTTATTTATTTATTTATTTTAAAAAAATACGCTTAATACCAAAATAAGTGTCCAAACTATATCGTTTTTTACGAATAGGTACCTAAACTATTTTTTGACTCATCTAGGTGC